CAATCGATCGGTGCCTACCGCGTACAGGTATAGGGATAGAGGTGAGGTAGGAATGGGAGAAGCGGATATAAGAGAGAGGGACATTCTAAATAATTCGCTTCCTGCCTTTAGGTTTAACCCAGTAACGGTTAGTAGGAGCGGGACTCGCAATACAGACATTCCAAGCAATTTTCCAATAAATGAACCGGTAGAACAAGACATTCTGAACCAAAGATTAGCGGGAGTGCGATTTGACGAGGGGACTATACCGCAAAGTAGTATGGGTAGACCTCCTACTCTACACTCAACATTCAGAAATGAGGTCGGTAACGATGAGCTAATAAGAAATGCGGATGCGCACGCGCAGTATCTTCGTTTAGGTAGTAGAGGTAGACCTCAGCCACAGTCAACCTTTAAAAATGTTGGATGTACTGGTGGACAAGTACAAAATCCGTATGCGTACGGGCAGTATTTTCCACTTGATCATGAGCACAGATATCTCGAAGTGGGGAGATGGAACATCAAGTATGATGGGGATTCAAGCGTGACAACTTTCTTAGAACGGATTGAAGAAATAAGAGTTTCTCGAGGGGTATCTAAAGTACAGCTCTTGCGGTCGGCGCCTGAACTGTTCACCAAGGACGCGTTAATGTGGTTCCGGACTAATGTGTTCACTTCGTGGGATGATTTGGTTGATAAGTTAAAAGAGGCATTTATGCCCTATGACTACCAATACAGTCTGTGGGAAGAAATTAGAAGGCGAACACAAGGAGCTAGGGAGAGGGTAGTATGCTACGTGGCTGCCATGGAAAGCCTATTCAATAAATTGGGACCCGAGCGACCGTCTGAAGCAGCGAGAGTTGCTTTGATTCGTCGAAATTTATTACCATTTTTGCAAACTCCATTATCTCTTCATCAAATTAATAATGTCTCGGAATTAGTAAGCTTAGCTAGGGTTATCGAAGAGACCGAACTACGGGTTCAACGATTTGTACCGCCTCCCACGAATTACCGGTCCCTGGTGGAACCTGAACTTGCCTACCGCAGACAAACCACTTCTCATCCTGTCTCCGCCATTTCGTCGCATAGCGGAAGAGCCTTTGACCATGAAGCAGTACCGGTACCCATTGAAGCTTCGTCGGCAAATGCTACCCCGATTTCCACTGAGCAAGGCAGCCAACCCCTCTGCTGGAATTGCCGGGAGGTTGGGCATAGATTCCGGAAATGTACCCAACCTAGACAGATCTTCTGTTTTCGTTGCGGTAAAGAGAAGGTCACCGCTTCTTCTTGTCCCACCTGTCGACCAAAAAACGCCCAAATGAGACGCTAGATAGCCGACTAGTAGTCTCTAACTCGAAAATACCGGCCGACTCCTCGACTATGGTGATAGAAAATAGGATATTATTAGATTTTGTGATTGCTCATGCCAAGGATGATGTCCGTCCTTATTTGATTGTGAAGATTTTCGGTAAAGAATTCTTAGGGCTACTAGATAGTGGGGCCAGTAAGACTGTTCTAGGACAGCAGGGTTGGGGGATTGTGAAACATTTCAGTTCCATAGAATCTTCTTCGGTGAGTTTTTGCACCGTGGCTAATGGCCAAAATTGTGAGGTATTGGGATCAGTGAATCTCCCTATTCAGTTAGGGGACCGAATCAAAATTATAGAGGTGTTGATAGTTCCTTCTCTGCCTCACTGCCTCATCTTAGGGATGGACTTTTGGCTGAAGATGGCTATAGTCCCCGATCTATTCTCGGATGAGTGGTATTTCAGGGATGAATCGAAATCCTCCTCGGACTCCAATATTTGTGCAATCAATTCTCTAGATTCCTTAGCCGATGATCAGAGGGAAAATTTAAAGAAGATGGTGGATAGGTATTTTTGTCTGATGGGAAATACCTTGGGCTGCACTTCTCTGGTTGAACATGTCATCACCACCGATTCCCCGCCTATCAAGCAGAGACATTACCCCATCTCACCCGTTCTCCAACGACAAGTGAACGAAGAACTTGATCAAATGCTCCGGGATGGTGTGGTAGAACCATCTGACTCGCCCTGGGCATCACCCATTTTGTTGGTTAGGAAACCCGATGGCCGCTATAGATTCTGTGTCGATTTCCGAAAGTTGAATCAAGTCACGAAGAAGGACGCGTACCCCCTCCCCTTTGTGTCAGCTACCCTGGATAAATTGCGGGAGGCTCGATTTTTAACAACGCTTGATATAAAGTCTGCCTATTGGCAGATTCCTTTAGCCGAGTCGTCAAAACCCCTTAGGGCCTTCGTTGTCCCTAACCGCGGACTTTTCCAGTTTCGGCGTATGCCGATGGGTCTACATAATGCCCCAGCTACGTTTCAACGCTTTGTCGACCGAGTAGTTGGTGCGGACCTCGAGCAATATGTTTTCATCTATCTAGATGATATCATCATTTGCACTTCGACTTTCGAAAAACATTTGGAGATTTTAGAAGAAGTATTGGCTAGGGTTACTAAAGCTGGACTCACCCTTAATGTACAAAAATGTAATTTTTGCAAGTCAGAACTGCGCTATCTCGGGTATTTGGTCAATTCCTCCGGTCTTCTTGTTGACCCGGAAAAGGTTAACGCCATTTTACAAATTCCTAACCCGCGAAACGTTTCTGAGGTGCGTCGAATTATCGGACTCGCCTCCTGGTATCGCCGTTTCTGTCCAAACTTCTCAACGCTGATTTCGCCTTTGAGTGACCTCACCAAGAAAAACCACCCATTTGTGTGGGACTCTAATTGTGAAGACGCCTTTCGGAAAATCAAAGAGTGTCTCGTTTCCGCCCCGGTACTGTCTTGCCCGGACTACAGTCTGCCTTTTATGGTCCAGACGGATGCCTCCGATTATGGCTTGGGAGCCGTGTTGTCGCAGGTGCATCCAGATGGAGAAAAGGTGGTTTGTTATTTGAGCCGCTCCTTGACCCCGAGTGAACGGAAATTTAGTACGACAGAGAAAGAGTGCCTGGCCGTCATTTTTGCAATCGAGAAGCTGCGGCCCTACTTAGAGGGCACGAGGTTCGTAGTAATTACTGACCATTACAGTCTGAAGTGGCTAAATTCGATTAAGGACCCCGTCGGTAGAATTGCGCGTTGGGCAGTGCGGCTGCAGCAGCATGATTTCGAGATTGTGCATCGTCCTGGAAAGGATCATTTGGTAGCTGACGCTCTGTCTCGATCTGTACCGGCCCTAGTGGTTGACATAGCAGCTAATGAAACGACCATCACAGATCCTTGGTACCGAAGAATGGTTCAAGCGGTCACCGAAGACCCTGTTCGATACCCTTCTTGGCGTATTCACAATAAGTTACTTTTCAAACGAGTAGATAGGAAATATCCCGAGCTCTCTGAAGAAGTAGACCCTTGGTTGCAAGTAGTTCCCAAGGAAACTCGTCGCAAGCTTATTCGGCAGCACCATGATCCACCAACCATGGGACATGGTGGTGTGTTCAAAACGGTCTCGCGTCTCAACAGCCGGTATTATTGGCCGAAAATGAAGCAGGACGTAGCTCAATTCATTAAACAGTGTACGGTATGTATAAGTACAAAGCCCGAGCAGAGAGCCCCTGCGGGACAGTTGTTGAGCTCTGCGCCGCAAACTACCAGACCGTTTGAGGTTATAAGCGCCGATTTGGTAGGTCCGTTACCCCGATCCGCTTCAGGATTCTCTTATATCGTGTCGGTGCATGATATTTTTAGTAAGTTCGTCTTATTCTTCCCGGTACGGCAACCCACCGCAAAAATCGTGACACAAATCATGGAGGAGCAGGTATTCCTCGTTTATGGTACCCCTCGCAAAGTAATTGTCGATAATGGTGTGCAATTTCGCAGCCACTTGTTCCGTAATTTACTGAACGAATATAAGGTGCAAGCTGGATTCATCGCCAACTATCATGCGCAGGCCAATCCCGTTGAACGCACACACCGCGTTTTAAAGACCATGTTGACCGCTTACGTTTCAGAAAATCACCGTGTTTGGGACCAATATTTACCTAAAATTGCATGTGCCATGAGATCCGCAAGGCATGAAGCGACGCAACTGACCCCGAATTTTGTAGTATTTGGTCGTGAAATCAAGTTGTCGGGGCAAGCTCAGCATCCCTTAGCAAGCACGGTTGATCCTGGGCCATTTGACGCAGAGGTCCGGTCAGAAACCTTGCGAAAGGTGTTTGAAGACGTGTCCAAGCGATTAATACATGCCCATGCGCGTAGTAAGCAACGATACAATTTGCGGAGGAGAGACGAGAAGTTCACTTTGGGTCAGAGAGTGTGGCGTAAGAATTATACGCTCTCCGATGCAGCTCGAGGCATAACTTCTAAGTTAGCCCCGAAATTCAAAGGCCCTTTTTGGATTTCGAAGGTCCTTTCACCGTGGTCATATGAGCTGTCAGACGACTCAGGAAAGGCATGCGGTGTTTGGCACGCTAAAGATATCAAAGCCCACCCTCCAGACGAGGAGAATGAGCTTAGGGATGATTCAGAGGTGGATGAATAATCCCAAGCTGAATGTTTATTTGGAACTACATTCCTTCTGGTTTTTTTGTTGTTTTCTTTTTGCTTGTACTAGAGGTATCAGGAAACCTTTCGGTATGATAGTTTTTTTGTTGTTTTCTTTTCGTTGTACTAGAGGTATCAGGAAACCTTTCGGTATGATAGTTTTTTTTTTGTTGTTTTCTTTTCGTTGTACTAGAGGTATCAGGAAACCTTTCGGTATGAAAGTTTTTTTTTTGAGAAGAAAAAAAACTTTGATGGGGTAAGGGGGGTGTTGTTACGGTTTCATTTTGCAATATCCTCAGTGAAGCAACCCAAGCACTGAATTAGAGGGTGAATCGGTTACAAATCAGCTGGCCACAAAGTATTTATTGATATGCATCACACTTGGTAGCTCAATATCCCATTCCTGCGGCCGGGATAGGTGATGCCTGAAACAGAAATTCAGAAAAGATCAAGTAGGTAGCTATATCAGAACCAGATAGTTGGTTCATAAAGAAATACTCACTCAGTTTATAGTATAGTCAGGCCTTTCCTTGGTTCGAGTTCCCTGAAATCGTTTGGTCTCACCTGCAAAATAGTTAAAGATATTTATCTATTGGATAATATTGCAATACTATAAAACCCACCTGGCATGGAGTTATAAACAATAATAGTTCGGTCAGCTAGGTTTTCTGTGGAGGTTAAAATGAGCAGTTTGATGGGATACATCTTCTTTTTCTGGCTCCCATAGAGCCAAATTCTTAACCTAAACACAAATGGAGCCAAGTGTGTACCTTGACATTTTGGCGGGATTTTGGGGAGATATTGACATCTGACCGAATGAGGCGTGAGATTTTGATATAACCTGTGCAGGTATAGAAAACGTGCTTTCGCATTTTTGCGGATTTTTCTCGTGTAATCGAATTATTTGACGAAGTCAAAGTAGTCAAAGGATGGTCCACTGACTACTCAACTATGTTGGATGAAGACTTCTGCTAAATAAGATTGATTATCAGATTCCATTATTTCAACTCACCGTAGTTGCTACTCTTGGCCACCTGAAATCGAGGTATGCTCATGTCTGATCAATTTACAGCCATTTACAGCTCAACTCGCGATAGTCCTTGGGATTCAATGATAGAATATATATGATGGTATTGTAATTTGTAGGGCCAACATAGATTTCGAGTTTACTTGGACTCGACCAGTTCATAGAGCCTGTTTAACCAGCTTGGCTTCACTCATGCTCATTTGCTGCTAACTGCTTTGCTTTCCTGTCCCACTGCATGAAAACTGTAGATCTAGAGACTATTGCGCATCTTAGAAAAGAACATTCCTGCCTGGTCCGGCCCATATAGCACCTACCTGGAATGCTGGATGTATTGCTGGGTCCCAATACAGCCAAAGTATCATCCAGCTTCTCAAGTGAGCGTTATCTTTTCCTTTATGATAATAGCTAGTAACCAAATTGCTGGAGCCTCTGCAATACGTTTTTAAGGTTTCTGTGAGATAGTTAACCATAGCCTGAGCTTTAGCATGTTATTGGTCCATTAGTGATTGAGTTATCTATAGTTCAATTAGTTTGCATTCCTGTGAACTTATGGTATCGATACCCTAAGGGAACTTGGGTATATATCTCCATACATTGTGAAAGGTAAGGCGTTATTGGTAAAGATTTGATGACTACCATTCTGTGTATGCAGGGCACAACATACTTGACAAAAATACACTTTATTCAAGCAACCACCTGAAGTGAAACACTACCCATCGCTGTACAATAAAGTAATTGTTCTTCCACCCCCTGAGTTTCATTTTATCCTGGAATTATTGTTACTATCTTACCAGGTTTGTTTTGCAGGAAATTCATGTTATAATATCCTCAAATACTAAGCGAGATACAAAAGAAACACAAAGGATAAGAAAGTTGATATTCCAATTGTTCAATCTAATAAAAATATAGAAGTCAGAACAACGCCAGTGGCGTAAATATCGATAAATTAACCCACTGTGACGCCACTGAAAATAATTTTTCGAATTTGATCACATTGGAAGAGGCTCCATGTTACATCCAACAAAACCACCAAGTTTCATTGACATTGGTGAAAAGACATTTGAGTAATGATTAAAAAAACGATTTTTCATGGAAATATCAATACCCTGTATCTTGAAAACGAATCAAATTAGGACACATGTTTATATGAACTTTATTTTCTAAAATATCACAAGGAATCATCCCCTGAAGTTTGTCGCACTTATTCACAAACATCCTGTATATACATATTGAATTTTTATGATTTGAAAAACTGAGCTCCGTTATAACCAACACCCTGTAATCAAGGTTACTCAAAATTTTGAAGACTCCTGCTATTCTTTCAGTTGTTCGAATATGTTGGTGATATTTTTTTCTGTCATCTTAAATATAAAGTGTTACACCATGATGAAGAAGGTAATTTCTAAAGAGATTTCAAAGAAGCAGAAAATATACAAAATACAAATTAACATAAATATTCGTTCGAAAGTTTCTAGACGCCCACAGTATTTGATCTTACCAACCTGGAGAAAAATAATGTTTCGTATCCTGATAAAAGCTGTTCAAAACCCATTTCGATTTTCTATAGAAACTTTACTAATGTACCCGAATTTGAAATATTTCAAAAGAGTTCACTAACCTTTCCGGGTTCCTTGTCGAAATCACATTCCTTGTCGGGCATATAACCATTTGTGGGTGCTGCGAATACCAACTGGAGGTTGGTGCCTGTCGCAGCAAACGCTATTTCCGTGTGACCTTCTCTACAGGCGTTTTGGAATCGGACCACCCGTTCCTCCTGTGGTCGATCTCTGTAACCCGTGTAGCGCACCTGTAACAAGCAAATAAACAGTCAATATAGGCGAGTGGACTATTTTTGTTCATTTCTATAATAATAAAAATAATAAAAATGGAAATTTATTGAATCCTTCACGATCATAAAAAATGACATAGGATACGTCAGACAACAAGAAATTCTTACACAAATTGGTGTGGATTTATGCAGCGTCATTTTACATGATACATGTAACAGTTATCATTTTACGATCAACAATTATAAGTTGAATTTCATATTTTCCAATGACTGTGTTTATGCAGACATTTAACAATTATCATTTATCATGTAACATGTAGAATGGTGGCCAACTTCTTACATTGAATGAACCATTAGATTTTATTATTGTGCGCAACCTTGTACGCAAATTATCTCGGATTGGTCCGCCCGGTAATGATATTTACCTAAAAATTAAATGTCATTTACCACTGACAGATATTATGGATATTGATGATGCCATTCTTGTGGATCTTTTCGACAGTTTCCTTTCATATATGATAAAGGGAACAAGGATTTTGATGACACAGAATATGAAGGAGTATGCATGGAGCACCATTGCCTCAACTCTCAACGTAGATGGTAAAGTTATTTGATTTTCATGCATGATTCATTGCTACTTACATCCTAACGTCTTATAATTCATTTTTCAGTAATTTCAACACAGTCAAGATGGAATGTTTTGAGAAACAAATATTGTGTTGAACGAAAGAGAGAGAAAACGATTCCAGCAAGTTCAGGTGCCAGAAAATCCTGGCAACTGTTCTCTGCAATGTCCTTTTTGGACAAACATATGACTATGAGGAAGTATGTATTATCAATAAATCAAACAAAGGAAACTTTTACTTTAATTTTTAATAAAATATATTTTCAAGCTCTTCTACTGATCTCTTGAAACTAATTTTTTCATGATTGTAGAACAGTAGGTAATATGAGTGCCACAAGAAGCCAATCGCCCCAACCACTCACCTCCACATCATACTGGACCTCCTTCAATATGATTGTGGAGGAGAATAGTCAGGAATCCACGGGAATGACGGAGCAAAGCACTGCAGGTGCGGCAGTCAGGATTCAATAAATGATTCATATGATACACCTTCATAAATTTCTGAAGAGACTGGTAATAATAAATTTGTCTAATCATAATTTTATAATTGTGTTTCATGGAATATGTTGTTTTCTTTTGTAGAAATAGAAAACAGCAATGTGGCAGAGCTAAATCGAGTTCCTCAGTTGGTTTCCACTTCTAAAAATGAAACTCCACCATTAAAGCGCAAGAGAAAGAAGGCTGAGGAAAGTGAATAAGTGACAAAACTGTCATCAGCTTTTGATAATTTCACAGAATATTTGGAAACAAAATCAAATATCAAAGAAAATATTCAAACCATAGAACAGTTGGAACATGAGTCAAAAGCTCGGTCGAAAGTAAATTTTTCAAAATCAGTAGGTAATGATTTACTGCAAATAAAAATTAAAAAAATTAGATATGCAGCCGAAATTGAAATTATAAAAGTTGTAAAAAATGCTGTGCGTGCAATGACATGTCCGAAAAAGACTGAAATTTTGAGTTTTCCAAAAATGTGTTTATTTTAGTTTATAGTTTGTGAATGTGTTGATTTTATTGATGTTTTTCTTGAAGAAATATTTTGTTTTTTGTTTAGAATTTTTTTTTGTCTTGCTTAGAAATTTTGTTTTTGATTGTTAAGGATGTTTATGTTGAGTTATTTCACTGAATTAATCTAATTTGTTATATATTCTGTGAGAATGTTTGTCTAATTACATTTTTTTTTCCATTTTATAAAATTTATTTAATTTCTCATGTCCTACTGAATTGAAAGTATGTGTGGAATTCAAACTTTTTTTCTATTTAGAACAAAAAATAAATAGCATTTCACCAAATAATAAATAACAAAAGATGCATAGCATGGCACAGAATTTCTATGTAACAAGATATAGAAAACCAACCTATAACTAATGAATATATCAAGTGATATATAAGTGCCAGTTTAACAGAATAATCCTATCGCTGCGCGGTCGGATTATTTAAACTGTCAAACTGACACTCTTCGTAATTATGCAACAAAGTTATCTATGTATAACCCGAATATTTTGAAGTACTTATAGTATTACTATAATGATAATATAGAAGATAGAATCTTCAATCATAATAATATTGGGTAAGTATCAAGCTACCGATCTGATGTTTTGAATTTTATTACTGAATGCATGTGTTTGGTATCTCATAACCTCATAATATATATATAGATATACCTATGATGATCATAATAATACAAATCTATAATTCGATGTTAGTCTGTATAATCTAGTGTGCCCCGTGCATGAAAATAACCTACATATGGCAACAAAATGATAAACATCAATTAAACCAAACTTGTTGAGAGAATAAGCTCGAAAGCATCCGGAGCATGTCCGGCTTAGTCATGATTAATATTCTTCCTCCGATTTCCGCGAAATTTTATTTCATCACAACATTATATACCCACTTGACATTTAGTATGGATGTTGAAATGCCATGGGTTTTTTATATCTACCTTGGCCTCCATAGGCGCCGGAATGATTGGGGCTGGGAGACGTGAGCCCCTATTAGGCTGTATTCCTGCGTGGGCCCCCACGAAATGCATGCATATAATTTTAAATTCTTCGAGTCTAATACCGGGTGTCCGAACTTCACTTTCACACACACTTTCTCGAAAACTGGTGACATTATATAAGTATCAACGTTCTGAAAAAACTAACTTAAATGAGAAAGAGTGTTGCAAAAAAAAACAGTAATTGAAACTACCCCTTAATAAACCACCCCTTAGCACATACCAACTTCTTTTCCAAATTACACCACCATATTATAAATGGCATATTTGAGCTTATTAGCTTACGAACACAATGATGTATTCCACTATCCATGAATACGTCCGAGATAGTGGAATAAATTCAAACATGTCAATATGATCTATTAGGCTATACACTATACAGGTTGTACCTCCGGGAACTGCATCGATCAATAAATAAAAAACAATAGGTGGGCCGGCTTTGAAAATTTGGTAGTTTACTATTGTTGATAAGTGCTATCCGGCTGAATTATTTTGAAGATTCTGGTACTTCCGGTTGTACCGGAAGTGGACCCCAACTTCGTTATTTCAAACGGAACACCCAGTATTTTATTGCATTTTTAGATTCTTACTGAAGAGCTGATTTCATCAATGCATCACACTTAGGGTCTATCAGGAATTATTACAGAGATATAGGGTGTTCAAAATCGAGATTTTTCAATTTTAGGAATTTTTGTGTCGAAACTATTCATTATCGATCAAAACGGCTTACATGTCCCTATCTTAACTTTCGATTCACTATCTACTGACATTTAATTGAGACAGATACAGGGTGATCAAAATTCTGAATCTTGAAGCACCCTGTACTTATTTGTTTCAATTAAATTCAGTGCCGTGCTTATATATTAAAAATATATAAAGGGGTCGGTTTTTATAATGAAATCATATATTAGGAATTATTTTGCAAGAAAACTAACTCCATAATATTGTTCGTCATGCTTTCGAACCTCCAATATATACAAGATTACTTCATTCCGAATTAACGAGATAGGCTTATAGGTATAATGTTTTTCATTTTCAGCCTCGAAATTAAAAAAATTGATTAAATCAACTGCGAATTTTGGAACGTTCAATACTCGGTTCAATAGCTCCGGTCTCGGCTCCGGTAGATAAAAAAAATGATTTAAAAGAAAAATAGAGATATACCTTATAACAACTCTTTTGATGTTTTGGAAAAGAAAGAGATTTTGATTTGTTATAGGCACGGCAGCTCGCTTGTTTGGGAGCAGGTCGTGAGTTAGTTCTTTTTTTAGGTAACTAGTGGGGTTATCCTTTTGTCAGGCGCCACTCAGTTTTCACAGCTGAATTACTGAGAAAAAAATCCAAGATATAAGTATAAGCCAAAATAACTGTTAACAGATTTATTCACCTTAACATGTCAACAATAGGTATTCAGATGGTGGTAAATATGTATTATGATTGTAACTCAGTACAAGGGTTGATTTCCCTTCATATAGGCCTATACTTTGGGTTCACTGAGTCTCTAACAGACCCAATAATTCTATTAAATGTAAAATCCGATCTTAGACTGTTGTGTTATTGACAAGTGTTTAAATATCTCATGACATTAGACAGTGAAAAATAACTATTTAAATGTCCTCAGACAGTGAAAAAAAAAATATGTATGTTAAATGTCTTCAAGACAGGGAAAAAAGTACATGTTAAATGTCCTCAGACAGAAAAAAAATATGTAGATTAAATGTCCTTCAGACAGGGAAAAAATATGTAGATTAAATGTCCTTCAGACAGGGAAAAAATATGTATATGGAAAATTCTGACCTTAACTGCAAGTTCTGGATTTTGAACCATGAGATTCCAACTGTGGTCCACTAGATCTCACTACCTGGATGAAACAAAGACACACTTCCCTCAGTCGGCGGTAGGGGTTAGGTGTGCTAGGAAAACTGGATCCCCACACAGTTGACAGGAGTCACAACCACCTGGAGACCTGGGCACTTGGTGTATCCCAGGGCAACTGGATTCTGCACTGCAACTCTGGCTGACGGGTCCACAGGCTGCCACCAGGGCAAGCTCTTCCTACCATCCAAGCTGGACCAGGACGTCTCACTACCTGACTGGGCTCTGGGAGTTCAGGCTCCAAGGTAACAAAATCCTAGGGATGAAGGATCAATCAACCATACCGGGACTCTGGACTCCCCTGGACTTCCTGTCAGAAGTCAGGATCACTGGCTATCTAAACCAGAGAAGGGCTGCTAGGGACTTGCACTGTTGGCAGCAAGGATTCTGCCAGAAATTCCAGGCTGTCGGGTCCTATAGATGCCCAGAGACACACACAAGAAATCACCAAGGTCTTGCTTCCACCTTCAAGTGTGTTGGTGACTCAGGCTTCAAAGCACGAAGATCCCTCAGGTGCCTCAACCATTGAAAAAAGTGTCCACGTGATGTCCAAACAGTGAAGTCCAGAAAACAGTTCAAGATTTCTAAATGCCCATAGTTGATGAATGATTCGATTTTTAGTGATCCATCCAGTTAACAGTGTTGATTGATAAAATTCAAGTCCAGAAACATGCCATGTGGTCAACAGAAAATGGAGTTCATATCATCCACTCAGTCTGTACCCCCTGCTCCCCTGTATAAGGCCGTGATATCTGAAATGTAGATACCCTATCGAATATCATTCACACAAAATGAGATTTAATATTTCTTACCTTCCTATCGGAAAGGCCTAACACAAAAGTAGGTGTCCACCACCTGACTTGATCGCACGAGAGCCAAAATCAAAAAGAGCTTCATTTTGGCTTCAGCACATGAAACCTTTTCGCAAGAGAAGGAATCACCAAGAAGCTTGCAAGAAGGATGAATAAACGGAAATTGCTCAAATAACAAGTTTCCGTCAATCAGAGCACTTGTGATCTATTCAAAAAAAATAATACAACCCAAAATCCGTCTCTGCGCAGTGTCAATCTAGCCACCCAAATAATATGATTCAAGTCAAATTCAGGGATGCAACTTGAAAGAAATATTAAATATCGATCATGACATCGATAGTCGATACGATAGTCGATACATTAGTCGATTCACCAGTCGATACAAAATTGCGAATATCCCTGCACCATTACAGGCCACTGCCACTAAACGCGACAAACAGTCTTCTACTGGCAAGAGACTATGATGGAAACAACAATGTTCATGGGCATCTGACAAATGTGTAGGGTTGGATAAGAAGTGGACTAACATAACCTAACTGTCATCCAGTCATGGACATTGAAAATGAAAACATTTAACAAGATGGAATAACGTACAGTACCTCAAAACCTAGAAAAGAAATCATTGAGTTACGCAGTGCATCTCTACAAAGCTTCCCCATTACCTATTTGCAGAATTCACAATATGGAACACGAAAAGGCAAATTTTCATGTTACAACCTATTATATTTTCACAGTAGTGCAGTGTTACCGCTGCTATATCAGAAAGTAGCAACAACCTTGTTATTTCAAATAGAATACACTGTATATTATTGCATTATTAGATCCTCCCTGTATATAGCGCTGATTTTATCGATACATCACACTTGAGCTCTATCGGTAATCGGAAATGAGTAGGGAGTTCAAATTTCAAAATCGAGATTTTTCAACTTAAGGATTTGTTCGAGGATTTGTTTGTGTCCGAACTATTCATTATCGGCCAAAACGGCTCGCATGTCCCTATCTCAACTCTTGATTTACTATCTACTGATATTTAATCGGAACAGATAGGTATTTTATAGTTTCCAAAAAATAACAAATGCGGCCAGAAACGGGCACTGCATCTGTCGAAAACTATAGTACCTATCATCTGAATGGTGGCCGAAAACTATAGTATTTTATTGGCCAAAAATTGATCATCGGTGGTCGAGAACAAGGTTAATTGAAAATATCAACATTTTTATTATTTTGTGAAATAATGCATCAAAATACATTCATAACATGTCTCGTAACATGTCTCATCACTGACTTTCCATGGTTCAGCAATATATATGATAATTATTGTAATATATAGTGTGCACAAAACCTTTCATGTTATGAATAATTAAAAAATTATGAAAAAACGTTGAGTTGCCGAAAACCTACGGAGTCACACTACCTACCTAGTCTTGGCAAAAACATTCTATCTATACAATCTATACCTAAGTGAACGGATTCTTATTCACTTTTTTTATCCTTGAAATTATTAACCATATCGGAGAGCTCCAATATAAACCAGGTGGTCCGGTTTGAAATAGGTACAACAAATTTAACAGTGTGTTCGAGATAAGGGGTGTTGACAATACGAGTCTGAATATTGTTTTTTGATGAAAAGTTCGAAACGGCTCCATATAAAGGTCTACAAACCTTCTCACAGATGGCTCAACTTTTCACGCACCATGCGAGATGAAATTAAAATTATTTCTTATCTTCCTTATTCCATAAGCGAATGGTTGATATATGTCTTGGAAAATTGAATAGATGATATCCATTTTTTTCAGAATTGGCACCATTTATTACATGCACAGCAAGTGATTTCCATAGCTGATTTTTCCTCGAAAGTATAATTATGAAATTTTATTCCAATTCTGACGTTTATAAAATTTATTGTCAAATTCAAATATTTTGGATGAAAAAGCGCGGGACGACTATGGTGCTCTTGTCACAATGCAAGGTTTGTAACTCAATAAATCTGAACATTCAAAAACCCTAACCGTTGTCCGAACTCTTTTCAAACTAATTACCATCCAGTGGCTAGTATTTTCAACACCTTTTAGGTATCTCGAAAACGACGCGTTCGAGAATATATATGTTAATATGAAATTTTTCATTATTTCAACGATCAAAGATCATTTTGAATAATAATGTTATAAGACTAAGAACTATATCTATTTGACATTTAGTTAATATGTACGTTCTCATCCGCCAATGTATTTGAAAGATAATATACCTACAAGCGAAATGTTATCCGCATCAAGGAGTATATAGGTATTAGGTATATCGTATTATTTCAAAAGGTAGACAATTATAGAGGTACACGCATATACCTAGTTGAGTTGTTTTTGATAATACATTAAACATTAAACTCATTCCATAGAAAAAAGATAAAAAAGTCGTACCTACATATACCTACTCTTCAGGTACCTATACTTTCAATAATTTATTTATTTATTTATTTATTTATGTGCAGGCCCCGAGGCAGGCCCCCTAACAGGCGCAAGCCCAATGACAAGGAGGCACATATTACAAAATAATACATACATATGCGTACCTAAATCTAGAATCCTAATAATAAACAGAAAATAAATATCTATTATGGGTGAACATTTTGTGAGTTATAAATGCAGTTATAATAATTGTGCAAAAAATAAAAGATACAAAAATTAATTAGGAAAGAGAAATGATAGCAAAAATACACATGCAAACAAAGTAATAAGTTCGTGTAATTCATCAATGATACAAATAAGAACTAATCCAATAGGAGAGGAAAAAAAGGAGAAAAGAGAAAAAGAAAGCCATACGAACGTATGCAAAACTCTCGGCAAAACTTGATCAATTCATCACATTTATCAGGGGAGAGCAACATACATCGATACAAGAAGTTCCTTCAACTTTTTTTTTATGGATTTTGAGGCACGAAATATATCAATAGAGGAGTCGCTTACCATGGTATTAAATGTTATGATACAACGTGTGATGGGTGCATTGCCTGAGTAATTATTCGTGTAGTGACGAATTTGGAAGGTTTGTTTAACACGAGTGTTATAGGGGTTACATCTAAGATAGAAGCGATCAGTTAAATGTGGACAGTCTATAAGAGCATTGAAAATTTTGAACACAAGATAAATGTCAATAAAATCACGTCTCATGGTGAGATACTCTAGCCTATAAAAAGTCAGATTACTTTGGTATGAAAAGTAATGTCTGTACCGATGAAACCTGTAATTGAGAACATTGACGAGCTTTTTCTGAACAAATTCGATGCGTTTAATGTATTTATCATACGCAGGATTCCATATAGTGCTACAGTATTCAAGTGTTGGCCTGACTAACGAGTTAAAAATTTTAATCACAGATCGGTAGTCCTGAAACTCTGTAGTGCTTCTTAGAACGAAACCTAGGGTCCTCAAAGATTTTTGCACAATATGTTCAATTTGAGCTTCAAAAGAGAGTTTGCCATCAAGCCTCACTCCCAAGTCAGTCACCTCAGAAGCTACATTGATGGGGACATCATTCAATTGTAGTTGAATCATAGTGGGGTTCAGATTTCGAGTGAAAGTAATCTGGTGACATTTCTTTATATTCAAGAAAAGCCGATATGTGGCACAGTACTTGGTGAAATTATTTATATCAGTTTGTAACTTTAAAATATCCGAATCTTCGTTAATGTATTTAAACATTTTGATGTCGTCAGCATACATGGATATTTTGCAGTGCTTTAGGTATTTTTCAGCGTCACTGAGAAATATGCTGAAAAGCAGAGGACCCAGATGGGATCCCTGTGGTACTCCGGATGTTATACTATAAGATCTTGACGCACAGTTATTAATAGCCACGTACTGACTTCTATTACTTATGTATGAGGAAAGTAACTGAAGCAAGTTGCCCTGCACACCGAAGTTTCCAAGCCTAATTAACAAGGTCGGGTGGTGTACCTTATCGAAGGCCTTGGAAAAGTCGGTGTACACGGCACACACTGGTATCCTTCTCTCCATCTGTTCGTGAATATCTTGAACATAAGGTGCCAAGTTAGTAACGACTGATCTTTTTTTGAAGAAACCATGCTGATGGACCGAAATATAATTTTTTGTCAAGAAAAAAAGTTCATTTGTGATTATGGCCTCCAATATTTTACCTAACAAATTAAGTAGGGAAATGGGTCGGTAATTTTTGACATCATTCTTATTACCTGATTTGAAAATGGGTATGACCTTAGCAAGTTTCCATTTTTCAGGAAACACACCATGTGTCAATGACCTATTGAAAATAATGTACAGAGGTTCGATTAAACTGTGTCTACACGACTTTAAGAAAATGGCAGGAATTCCGTCTGGTCCCGCCCCTTTATTTATATCCATTCCTGCTAAAACATTGATTATTTGTTTTTTTGTTATAACTCTAATGTCGAAATTACCCTTCGGTGCCTCGACTTCGAGGAGTGAAGGCGTGGAGTCAGGCTCAAATACTTGATTGAAATATGATGAAAATAATCCGCAAATTGATCTGTCATCAGAGGCAGATATGTCATCAAGTCGCATATTCTGTGGAAGCATGTGGCTTTTTTTTACCGCTGATAGATACGACCAGAAAAGTTTTGGGTTACGATTTATGTTGTCTTCTGATTTTTTGAGGAATTTTTTGTGATCTGTTTTTATGTGAGCCTTTGAAATCCTTCTGTAAAAATAGTAAGGATCATAATCAGATTGATTGTCAAACCTCTTCCAAAGTTTACGAAACTTTTCTTTCTCTCTGACAAGTTTAATGGTGTTCTTGGAGAACCAAGCTGGAAAATTGGAATTCCTAACTTTCAGTTTGGGGACGAATAGTTCAATTGCTTGATCAATAATATCATAAAAAACATCAACCGCCTCGTCCACCCCGAGGTTGTGTAAACTGTCTGTCCAAGATATGGAGCTGAAATGTTCATTTAATCCTATATAGTCCGCAATAACAATAATACTAATATTGAGGTGTATAATGTACGTACCATGTACCTACCTACCTATATCTAACGGAAATATGAATACCTATAATGAGAACTATATAAAATAAAAACTTTACTCATATATAAATAAATATGGATATGCCATGAAATTCAGAATTGAAAGGAGGTATTCCATTTGAAAGCACTAACCATACAGAAAAACTCACCTCGCTTTCCCTACTCAGGCGCCTGAAGAGCTCATCCGACTCGAATTTTGATTTCTGGTCAGGCACCACCCGAGGCATTTTGAAGATGAATCTAGGCTTAGGCTGCTCGTATAAACTGATTGAGTCGAAGGACATCATACCAGATAGAACAGATGCTGGATCATTCATTGAATGCATTTTCAAATGAAAATTGTCACTTTAACTTTACTTTCACGTAAGATTTTCTCAACAATTGCGATCTACACAACCTCTATCACCCACGATAAATTTCGAACTGATTCAGTGATTCATATTCACATCAGCAGTGGGGTTCAGACGATGGGATGGGGACGACATTCGAGGTAGAACTCAGAGGCGTGGTTTAGCTTGTGAGCAGCCTATCAAATGAGAAGCTATCACCCTGGTTTTATGAATTCAATTACAGTGGGTCCGATGATTATAGCATATAGGATCTGTGATAAAGGTACCCAATATGGCAATATAGAGCCTATGAAAGTGAAATAGCATTATGAAGTTTCTATAGATAGATATTATTATTCATGGTTAAAGTAGGTATCTATATATAAGTAGTTACTTTTGGCTTGTGTATTGTTTTTGCAACTAATTGCCTATCAATGTACTTATAATACCTCTACAAAAGCATCAACTATTTTTTTTTAGTTTTTGACCAACAAATCGAAATACATATTTTTAGCAACAAGGTGCACGCAAAGGAATGGAGTTGGAAATATCAACCATTCGTTGTGGTTTCGAAATACCGAAGTTGTGATTGAATCAACCTCTCAAAATGATGCAAAGTAGGGTAAACACCCCTAGTTCGACCGCCTCCAGTAGTCGTCCATCCTACCACAAAAACACAAGTAATAACGAATCCGTCGAAAACTTCGATGCCACATATTTTTTCCAATACTCGACCATATTTCCTACACATATTCTCGAAAATTTCGCACAGCTAATAGTAGAGTGCCAAACGAACCTTAAGTCGCTTAGATCAAAAGTTGGTGGGAAATCGGAGGTAAAAAGCTGTGACATGGCTAGAATTGTTACCTACCATCTTCAGATCATGGATCCACTTGTCGTCAAAAAATCGTCCTGTGCGTTTGGGGGGTAGGGGGTAATTTATAAAAAAATATGTATTTTTTTTTATTCGTGGAAAATATTTATGGGTTTCAGAACTTCCACCCTGTTGAATCTTGATTTCGTGTGACAGGTAGAACAAATTATAGAAAATTTTGAAATTTACTAATTACATTACGATATATGAGAGAATCATATTTCAAACGCCTATAACTCAAAATTTGTGAATTCTCGTTAAATTGTTTTTCATATACCTCGCATTATCTCAGTAAATACAACGTTTATCAAAAAAATACTAAGAATAATGTCGATGCGCCTATGTTTGAAGGTGCGAATGGTTCTTTGATTTTGAAAATCGAATCATAAATAAGGAAGATATTGAGAAAATCATAATTCAATGCAGGTAGTACGAAGGACGGCGACTCGCCGCTTTCATACCCCTAGTACGATCACATTAAATATGAATTACTGAGTGTTACAGAATACACGGTAAAAAAAAATTGTTACTGTGACAATATTCTGGTTAATATAGGCACAACCAGATACACATTGTTGCTGTAACCATATCAAATGGTAACTATAACGATAATCTGGCTAAAGTAACAATGAAAAATGGTTAGTGTCACAAGATATCTGGTTGTGCCTATACTAACCAGATGATTTTTTTCCGTGTAGTACGATCTTGGAATTCACGGAAGAAATGGAATTGATCGCTATTTTCCAAGTTAACAGAAATTTATTTTAACTTGCTGTTTGATTGGAAGTGCCCTCCATTTATTTTATGAATGATTCTATCTCGAAAGTACATTTCTTATCCATCAGAGTAAAATGTCAACCATCTCATTTCTAAACAAATTGACAAATATTGAAACAAAACATGATGCATATAATATTGAAATAAAAATAAGATATCCTTGTGGAAACTTGAAAAAAACATTATTTGATACCTATCGAATTGCGAAGTTGTAAATACACGTAAATACGATAGTGTCCACATGAACACAAAGCTACGATAATTTTTTTCGATTATGTCTCTTGATGAATCATTATTCCCAAACCAACGTGTTTCGGTGTGAGTTTTTTGAATTTCGAATTACCGAGTATTATACGTTGACATCAGATACTCAACACCTTTGAATCAACTGAATCAACTTTAAGGTGTATAAGGCAACTAATTTAAAAAAAGTTTTTTTGGTATCATATCCTTGTAAGCCTTGACATCCATATTTTTGAGTTGTTTATAATCTGGAATATCTCTCATATCTTGATAAATATCTCAAAAAAATTTGTGTATCTGGGTCATATCTGATGCATACAAAGTCAGGGGAGTTATCTTCTGTAATTTCACTTTGTTCTTTATATGTGTATGAATCAGATGAGTTTTTGTCACTTTTGGAATCACAAATCACGACTCATTAGAACGTTTTGATTTATTTGATCATTTCTATTTCCTTGTCGTAGTGCTTTCTGATTTCTTCGATAAATTCATTTTAAGTACTTGATTTTTCGAGATTTTCTCTCCTCGTTTCTCTGGACGTTTCGGGAACGAATCTGCTGCCGTTCTCAACATAAAGATGCAAAATATTTTTCTTTGGAAGTTGCATTTTCATGTTGAGAACGGAAGCAGATTCGTTGCCGAAGCGTCCAAAGAAACGAGGAGAGAAAATCCCAAAAAATCAAGTAAAATGAATGTTTCACCTTCTCGATTAACCTACAGACATTAATCTTCAATTAAGATTTTCCTACCAGTTTTGCCACCAAGTTCGGCATATTTTTGATATAAACAGTTGAAAGTATACCCTTTTTCATTAGAAAATCTGCAACATCTATTAATTTTATCAGATTATCAAAGTCTTTGTCATGTGTGGTATGACAACTTTATTCTCACTCAGTGATCCTCTATAATGTTTCCAATTCGATACAAAACATTATTGGTTATGATACTTGACTTCCATGGCAATAAAAAATGTTGGTAGTCAATACTAGGTCAAAACTTGACTCTTATTTCAACGTTTTTGGTAGAAAATTCTTTTAGACACATCAAAAATACCTTCACATCAATTTCACTATAGAAAGCGTTTTATTCCTGACATTATTATCTCCAGTTTTCAATATTCCTGTGCCAGAAGATCGATTCACCTTCATTTCCATTGAAAATATCATCAATTCTCTGAAGTTCCATATCGATTTGCCTCGCATAGTTTTTTCCGAGGTTTTTTCTTATATTCATACAACTTTCAAATGTTTTTATCGATAATTCTGTACAACGAATTAGTTGACCATCTTTTCCACAAATGATACATTTTCTCGATGATTCTGTACTCTGCTGGAAAGGAATCTTCAACTTCAAGACATATGCAAGATCAGTGTTTGAATTGCTAGTACTTTCCATCTTTTATCTAGAGAAACATATATTTTATGATAAATTTACAATAATAGATTTCGTTAGCTAATCAATACTTACCAAAATATCGAATAATTAATTCACAATAAGTCACCATTAAATGCAATGGTCAACGCCTCAATGTTGATGTGTATAACGAAAGCGTATGGAACCATGATAGCCGCGGGTATTGCGGGGAGAATAGGGGTACGAATGCGGCGAAACGCGTTCGTCCGTGGTACCTGCATTGCATTATGATTTTCTCAATATCTTCCTTATTTATGCTTCGATTTTCAAAATCAAAGAACCATTCGCACCTTGAAACATAGGCGCATCGACATTATTCCTAGTATTTTTTTGATAAACGTTGTAGTTACTGAGATAATGCGAGGTATATGAAAAACAATTTAACGAGAATTTACAAGTTTTGAGTTATAGGCGTTTGAAATATGATTCTCTCATATATCGTAATGTAATTAGTAAATTTCAAAATTTTCTATAATTTGTTCTACCTGTCACACGAAATCAAGATTCAACAGGGTGGAAATTCTGAAACCCATAAATATTTTCCACCAATAAAAAAAAAATCCATATTTTTTTATAAATTACCCCCTACCCCCCAAACGCACAGGACGATTTTTTGACGACAAGTGGATCCTTGATCTGGGGATGGTAGGTAACAATTCTAGCCATGTCATAGCTTTTTACCTCCGATTTCCCACGGGGTGAACGATAGGATTCGATTGGCACTCTACTATAATGGCAACAGTGTAATGGCAGTTGAAATTTCAATGGTGACGCGTGTGGGTGAGATAGAGTAGGCCCTGGTGTGAGTCGATCCAGGTAAGGTAAGTGAATTGCTATGTTTGTGCTATGAACCAGCAATTAGAAAATTGCGTTTCGAAGGACGATTTTCGCTAATATCACTGATATAACTTGTTGTATCGATGTATCACTATTTTTTCGACAGATTCCAAACGAAAAGAGCATGGAATTTCTATTTGGAATATTTTATTCAACTGTGGTCGCCTTCTGGCTCGTAATTTTGGTAAAAAACCTATAGTTGACCGGCCGGTCGACTACTGGAAATTACCTCTATGTATCAGATTATGACAAAATAAGCCTGATTCATTAAGCTTTTTATGCTTTATCTGACTAACTCAGTCTGGATGAAATTGTTGAAATCCAGTAGTCGTCCAGGCAAAAATACTTGACGGTCGACTATAGGTTCTATGAAACCGCAGTACTCGACCTCTCACTTGAATGCATATTCAAATCATTAGAATCTTTTCAAAAATATGTTTTTTTCTTCAAATTTTTGTTTCAGAAAATGCCGGCTGAAAAGAAAAGACCCATTCACCAATATCCCGAAGCTTCTCTGACTGCTGCTTTAAGAGAAATTCGAAATGGAATGTCTGTTAGAGCAGCAGCACGCCAATTTGGAGTTGCAAAAACTAGGTACCCTTCTGGATAGAATCCATGGTCGAATCAAAGAGGGGAATCGAAAGATGGGACCACCAACAGTTCTGTCATCTGATGTGGAAACATAGTTAGTGAAGTGGGTAAAAGAATTGGCAAATACTGGATTTCCACAAAAAAGATCGATCTTCTGAACACTGTGCATAAATTGTTCTCAGTGATCAGAGGAAAACTATAATTCAAAGATGGGAGACCTGGAGACAAATGGTACCGCAGTTTCCTGAAGCGACATCCAGACCTGGCACTCAGAAAACCTGAGGGGCTCACAAAAGCGAGAGCAATTATAACAGAGGAATATATCCGGAAATGGTTCAGGGAACTCGAAGAA